ATATTCATTTTGGAACAACTATAATTCCCCAACCACATTTTCAGACAAACACTTTTTCTTATTGTTTTAGAAATTACAAAAGGGTAAAGCACGAGCTACATCCTAACCCAACCAAAGAAAATTATTCAAAAGCATCTATACCACTAGTACCTTGACGCCATGACTTTGAATAAAACATTTGACACTGTATTGTAATGTGTTGCAAATTCATCAATATCATGTGGACCATACATACCTTCCGAACAAAAAAATGTACACTTCTTATTATATGCCTTAATCATCCCTTTTTGTATGCCTGCTGAGCAAATCGGCTTTCGGATATACATGTAAATAAAGTAATTTTGTTATAATCACATAACTGAAAAATATCAGAAGCTATAACCTGGAAATTTTCTTTCTCGCTACCCACCTCTAAAATTTGAGAAATATTTTTATTGGCACTATAAACTGCGACAGAAGAGCCTTTCAAACTGTCAGAATGTATATGAACCATCCTATGCACTGCCTCTAGCTCTCGCCAAGTAGCATTTATAGGACTCTCTTCCGTATCCCAAGAACCACAGACGTTTTCACCATCCCCACCCTGCTGTGGGGAACTCGTGTCTGAAAGCTGTCCTTTTGGGATAATATATCCCCATAACCTGTATCTGAAGCATCACTGAATAACTCAAAGTCCCACAAGTCTGATACGTCTATGGTTCTTAACATTGACCCATTAACCAAACTGTAAATATTTTCTGACCAAATTAAAATCACCTGAATTGCATTTTTTGACGAGAAGACTTTGCTATTCCAAATAGCCCGAAACTCGACACAAAGTTACAAATTCCAAGTCATAATGCAAAAAAACGTTCCCCAAAACCTCCTTCATACTAATAAACTGACTGACCAAGCAATGGATTTGCCTACAATTGAACATGCATAAAACTGATTTCTTCAAAATATTAAAGACGTTCTAACAACTCTTTTGTCCGAAACTCTTACTATACCTTTTGAAAATCCCATTGAAAATCTATAACCAATAAATGTACGTTTTGTGCTGGAATCTATTAACATTTCTCATGCGCTAATAAACACCCGAATTTTATCAACTCGTATTTTACAAAAATACTAATCCTGGAAGCATCAACCCTTGAACAACTACCACTCAAACCGTCGTCTAAGTACACGACGAACTTCACGTTATTAAACCTCATAAAACTTACAAAATATTTGGTGACTTTAGAAAAGTATACCCTGCCGCTGATAAACCGAAAGGAAGAACGTTAAATACAAAATATCTATCCTGACCCCTAATTGTCCATGAAAATTCTAAATATTGCCTATACTCAAGGAATATGGATATCTGGTGATGGGCCGACTTAAGGTCAAAGGTGAAACAAAATCACCGGCGTCGAAAATGTCCCTTGCTGCATTTGTATTTGTAAAAATGTATATTAACCAGGTCCTGTTAACATGCATGCAGTCTAAAACCAATCTAGGTTTAGCTGATCTATTAATAAGCCACAGTGAGTGGATTTACTACCACAGGTTTATCATTAACCTATGAAATACAGTTTTTGCCAATAAACTCTAAATACTCTATCTCTGATGTAACAAATTCAGAATTTTCAAAAGAAGACTTATTGTTTTTCAAGTCTATATCGTCTTAGACGGTTTTGAAAAGGATTTTGTAACCTTGAGAAATGATTTCTTTAATGTAAATGCTAGCACTTTTTTAATTCGACCCACCTGTCTAAATAACTGTTTAAATGACCCACCGGACTTGCACGCTGTACCGAGCATTGAACTGTGACAGGACACAATGAAAGAGAATTTGAATGAAATTCTTTGTCTGATCTCATAAAAATTCTGATTGAACAAGTATCTAAAATACTTATCTCTGACTCGTTGATTTTCTTTCTACAACCCCTCGCCCAATAACCCTTTCCGCCGCACCGGAAGCAGGTTTCTGGTTAAGATGTGGGTGACTTTGTTTCATCTTTCATGTAAGTGTGTAGTCTGAATGACGTGTGGTAGGGTTTCTGTGTTGCTCGTTGTTTTCTCTTTCTCTGTTTGAGCCCTCAAAATCTTCTCGTCATCAGAATCCTCTGCAATGGGGTTAGCTTGGTATTTGCAAATCTGAATTGGTGTCGGTTTCCCCGAGATCTTCCGTTGTAAAATTTTGACGTGTCTTCTTCGTAAGACGGGCAAGAACTGATTCCTCGTACTATTCGAATACTTCTCATAGACTTACACCACGTGACTTAAACTCCAATTTCATTGGATAACTTTTTTCTGAATCAGTAAGACAATTATACTCCTTTCTTAATGAGATTTCATGAATATGCATATCGAACTCAAAACGAGGGTAAGATCGAGTACAAACAAAGATGGAGGAGAAAAAAGCGTCTGCAACGCGAGACTTGACAAAAGTACCAAATATTACCTTTGGATTTGTCGAGAGCTACATAAAGAAAGGAAGTCAGAGTCACGGAGAAAAAGAAATATATCTAAAGGATATAAATATTTCGCCGAGAGATATGTAACAAACATCACAAGTACGTATAAAAATTTCCGTTTGAACTTTCACTTTGCTTACGATCATGATATGTGCGATGGTCAAGTGTTAAAATCTATACACACAATGAAGGGAAAAACAGATGCGTTTAAATTATATTTATGAATAATAATCTTCATAAACTAATAAGTCAACAAAGTTATTCATTTTTCTGAATTAATTTACTTCACAGTGCAGTAAATGGATGTGTAGTTAAAGGAAAATGCCACAGGTCACAGCGCAGGAATAAATCCCCTCATGATATTGAGGTAAGGAAGAAAATAATTTAGATCAGTAAGATGTTTAATTACATGTATAATTAGTAAGTTTAATTTAAAAAAAAGGATATCAAGATTTGTAAACTTAGTGACAGATAACAATACTTTGCATCTATACTTTTTCTATGCTCGAAATACCAGTTTTGTTCAACAAGCTGTGGTACATTTTGTAGATTTTTCTGCTGGATGGACCCAGTGTGGACAGCAGCTCCTGTTCGTGTACAATTGGACAGTCAGGACAGTGCGGGCATGTGACTGGGCTGTTATTTTGTCTTGCACACATGAAATCAGTTAAAATGACATTCATACCATCTGATGTTTTGAAGACTTCTCTGCCTCAGACCTGGCATCTGCCACGAGGAGAGATCTCTGGAAGCACTTCGGACAACGTGGTTGTACATGGTTACGATTCCAAATTACCTCAAGAACAACCCCGTGGATTACGATCAACTTTGTACAATCCAATCAATTCTGATATCCCACCGATCTCTGACCTTTGTTCCAGAGTTTCAGTAGTTGACAAGACTTCTTTATCACTTGTTGTGCAACGAAAACTGTCATCCCATTATGTATCAAATATTTTAGACGCTGGTGTATTTCCGCTTCTTCCTGTTGAAAACGTTATGCAACAACAACTGCATGTGATTCCTGATGAAAAGAAAATTGGTAGTTTGTCTGCTATATACGTATGTGGCAGAAGAGGAGTGCCGTCAAATTGAGGAAATGACAAGGTTGCCAGGAGAAAGTCCCAAGTGGCATGCCATTCGCAAGGAGAGGATAACAGCATCTGTCTCTGGTGATATTGTGAAGCGTAGAGCAAGTAAGGTAACCTTACAAAATCTTATCATGGTTTATGCAGATATTACCTCATTCAAAACCATTTTCAATATTTGATATATATTTGCATCAATTTAAATTTACATAAACGTGTATTTCCAACATATCTTATATGAAAATGAATTTTCTTTGCACATATATAAATTTTGATTTGTATGCTGAAATTATTGTATATACTCTGTTTATAGATTTTGGACCTTTAATTATAAGATTGAAGACAACAAGAAAAGTTGTCACAGAGAGTATGCGACACGGATTGTCGTTCGAGGCAGTTGCTGCTGAAGCCTTTGTACAAGTAAGTAATGTTAATCTATCTGTCAAAGATGTAGCATAATACAATCACTAGTATACATGATCACATGATTCTGGACATGTAACTCAATTTATGCATGACTGATGTTAGATTCATATATTTTGTTTATATCATATTTTAAAAATCTTATTAAATTTGTCTTAAATTGTAGTTGCAAAACAACAATATCAACATATACCCTTGTGGAATTATTGTCAGTCCTTATGCTTCCTGGCTTCTGCTACCCCAGACAGGAAGGTATACAACCCAACTATGAACCCCCTTATGGTTTGCTGGAGATAAAGTGCCCTGTAACACCCTTAACAGAGTGTGTTTATTTGAAGATGGATGGGGATGTATGGAGACTTTAGGAAAACCTTTACTACTACCACCAAGTTATGATGCAGCTTGCCGTGACAGGTCTTACCTGGTGTTATTTCTTTGTGTGGCACTGTGATGATTGCCATTTGGAGGTGATTACCTTTGATAATGAAGAGTGGCAGGAAATGAAAAACAAGATTGATTCATTCTATTTTAACTACTTCCTTGAATAAAAACAATCTTTGAAACTTATTTTTAAAATACTTTTTATCATGCACAGTAAAACAAACTTATAGCAAATACACTTTTAATGAAATGATGACTAATGAATTCACAGATACAGCAAATTGATTTCTTTTTCCTGTGCTTTTGAAACACTGACAAATATTACAAATTTGAAACAAAGCAAACTTATTTGTCCCTGGAAGTTTGTTATAAGCATGTTTTACTGTACAGCTATATTAAAAACAGAGGGCCACATATAGCTTACTGAATAAAAGCTGAAAAGAGGATATGTTATGTATATATAAAACCCTTCCTTATCACAAGAAGTAAAAATTATCTTGAGAAAAATAACCAATATACAGTGTTCAGCCGAAATCAGATTAATCAACAATAAAAACAGTCATTGTAAGAATTTAATTACTAGTTGCATCATAAATATCATAGAAGCTTACACCCCGAGCTCAAAATTGAGTAAATATATGTCGTTTATTCACATTGACAAAGTTATTCATTTACACCAATCTTTGACAAGAGGACCTCTGAACAGAGTCAGCATATTAGCAACAGTCCAAATCTGATTTATTGTACCAGTCATACTCAATGGGATGACATCATCAAAGAGATGGTATTCTTTGACCCTACGAATATGTTGTTCTATGTGTATTCTTAGCTTTGCAATAATTTGTGTTTGCTCTACTTCCTGCTTTGAAAACTGACCTTGGCTAAGAAAAAAGGGAGGGGTGTTGACAGAAATGCCTGTACCTTCTAATACCTTGTTCATCACAAACCCTTTGTCAGCCATAATTGAGTCACCTTCTTCCATAAGATCAAGTAGGCCAGATAATTTTGTTATTTCGACGTCTGACATGCACCCTGTGTATAATGAGGACACAAAAGTGAGAGCTTCATGAGGAGCGATTCCTACAAGCCCTTTCCATGTGTGTGAACTCTTATATGTTGAATAACATTTTGACCCATGTGCTGAGGATGATGGACGCTCAGTTTTAATCTCTGTGCAGTCAATTATGACTCTAGTTGAGGGGTAAAACAACTTGATGGACTGGGGCATTTTTTCATAAATGTGTTCCTTACTCGCGTTATAAAGTTTTTTTTTGTAATTATTTGGCACTAATTATTTCAGTTTATTTCAGTCAGGTAAGATTTTTAAATTATTTTTTTAATAAAATCACATGAATTGAAATTATATCTTTTTCAATGTTAGTCAGGCATTGAGCTTGAGCTCTAACCTTTTTGTTTTAGCTCACCTGAGCCATTTTAAGGTCTAAGTGAGTTTTTTTTTATCAATGTCTGATGTTCGTCTGTCGTCTATAAACTTTTCGCATTTTTACATTTATCAGAATTAGTCCTAATTTGAACAAAAAATTGCAAGATAGTGAATTCATATTCCACAGTAAACTGATTTCATAGGCCGAAAGAACCAATTGTTTTGTAGAGCTTTAGTTTATTATTTGTCATACATTTATATGGATATCAATTATAATGATGCATCTTTATGGTCATCTTTTCTTTCAGAAATTGTGCAAGGGAAGTTTGAAGTGTCTGATGGAATGATCAACATCCAACTTGCTGAGCCTTCGTACTAAAAGTGAATCCGTTTGTGTCACCCATTATCTATCAACCCTCTAACATAACCATTTACTATTGCAAATTTCATGGGATATCAGTGAGGAAGTGATTCTAGCAAACACGTCAGAAGTTTTGGATCTTCCATAATTGGGGTCTTTGGCACGTACATGGGAGGAAAATAGCAACTGTTGATTTTATGGGATCTTTTTATAATACAGTTGTGTAATACATATTTTTGTATTTAATACATGTGTTTGTCACTCTAGTCATTAACTTTGTACATTAAATGTACATGGGCCACTGGCAATACATTGTAAATGTATATCCTGTTGAGGTTTCAATGCAGACTTTAGTTTACTACATACCTGTATATCATTACATGATTATCATTAATTTAACCAAGGTGATCCCACAGTAATCATATTTTTCTCTGGATATTTTTGTAAATAACCTTTGATGTAAAATACTTTCAGTGAGAATACATTTAAAAGGTGTGCATATATTGTACATCCATCTGAAAGTACATGCAATATTTGTCTCAAAAAACCATTGTAAAAGAAACAATGAATTTTCATTTTGAAAATATAGATTTGATCTATGAAAAATTGTGATGTCCCTAACAAAAAAAATACTATAGTAAACTATAGTTAACTATAGTTCCAAAGTAAAAACTTTGGAACTTTGATTTACTATGCTGAAAACTTTGGAACTTTGATTTACTATTGTAATAACTTTGGAACTTTGATTTACTATAGTAAAAACTTTGGAACTTTGATTTACTATAGTGAAAACTATGTAACTTTGATAAAGAACAATGAAGTTCGTGAAATTATGTTTTTTAATTCAGATGTAACGTAAATCTTATTTATGAAGAAAAAAAAATTATGCTACAAAATAAAGTTTTAGAATCAAAATATCTACAGTGCAGGGAACTAAGTTTGTTACATAAACCAGCATCAGGATCAGCATAAGTAGCATCAGGATAGAGCTAGCATCAGCATTTAAAAAACAGCATTACTAGGAACAGCATCAGCAAGCAAAAGATAGAACTAGCATTGACATATTTTAAAACCAGCATTGACCTACTTAAAATCAGGATTATGCTGGTTTACTAATAATAAACATTTGTTTTTCACAAAACGAAACCGCAAGTAGACATCCTATTTCAGTCGGAAATAAATACAAAAGATGTATTTCTTGCGGTTAAATTGACCAATATAATCCTAAGATTATCATTAAATTAATTCAATAGCAAAAACCCCTTGATATTTTTAAATCTGAATCAGCTGATCACCTGACGCTATGGAGTCTACTGGTGAGGCCATGCCACGGATTGATGATATTGAGATCGGTGATAAAGGGGTAAGTAGTTATGCTTGCGCATGAAAAATAAGTTAAACAACACAATAAAAAGTATTATATTTTGCGTACGACTATTTACTACAAATTTCTTGGGTTTTATGGGCATACACATGCTACGAAGTTTTTTCAATCCGAATTTCCTCTAAATTAACGGAAGTCAGGAAATAAGAGTCGCAGTGGATTTGATGAGATTATCTGCAATCAATTAATCATAGAGGTGTATTGAACAAAAACTTAATAATTAATCCAATGAAATGATTGATTTTATGTTATTTATTTTAATGCGAAAGTTTTTACTTTATAAAAACGTGCAGATAAATGAATTTGTGTATCTGTAGCATAATTATTTTTTTATCTTTATTATTTTCTTACATTTACTTTTCTTATTCAGTAGATTAGTATGTTTTTATTATTTTACTTTCATTCTTAGATTAGATTGTTTATTAATGTCTTGACCCTGACTGCGAACAGGTCATGGGGAGCTGTTAATTAGGCTAGGAGGAGACTTTATACAATAGTAGTGATTTATAGCATCTAGATTTGATAGTTTGGCCTTAGTTTAGTTCAGGGGTGATTAAGAGGAGCAATGAGAGGAGTCATAAACTATATAAGCTTGGACATAACTGGACTCCATCTTTCATAATTTTCAGAAGTCTATTCTGCAATGTCTTAAATGTATTATTTTTAGTAAGCGTTTTTCCCATACTAGGGTAAATACTTATCTATAAATAGATGTTTACTCAAAGACTGTATTTTTGCATGGCTTAATACACCAAATCCTATATTGTACCTTTTTGTAAATGTGTTCTTATACGTTTTCATAAATTCTCAGTTTTTTCTTATTTTTGATACATCGACTCTGTGTTAACATATAATCGTCATTATACGCGATTAAATTTTCGCGAGCACACTGTTTTTAAAAAGTGATATATATGTTTTTCGTTCAGGACGTTCTCATTTCTTTTGCGTTTTGTCTTATTCCAACCATACCGGTTTCATTTTTACTTCTATATACAGCATATCCGATGTATGAATCCATGCCATCCAAATCAAATATAATGATTTTTGACACAAATGATTAAGGTGATTATAACTATTTTAGGATGTCATGGATAAACTATCAGTTAGATTGTTGTGTATGTTTAAATCTACATTTTCATCGTATTATTGTATATATATACTGTTAATATTAGGATGCATAGAGACCAATCCTGGCCCTAGTTTCATGAAAAGTAGCCATATTAGCAAACCTTTAAGTATAGTCTATAATAACAATGTTTGTAGTCTACTACCAAAATTAGATATCATAACTTCAGAATTATCAACGTATGATATTATTACCCTTAGTGAAACACATTTAGATAATAGCATAAGTAATGAAAACATTTCAATATAAGGATTTCACCCACCTATTCGTAAGGATAGAAATAGACATGGCGGTGGTGTTGCTATGTACATCTCGGACCAATTAGTTTATCATTTTCGAATGGATTTGTCAACTGATGGACTAGAAATTCTTTGGTCAGAAATACAAAATGGCAACAAAAAATTTTTATTAGCTGCACTTTATAGGCCCCCATCTTCACTGGCTAGCTATTGGGACTTATTTTGCTCAAATTTGGACAAGGCACTTGAATGTAATCTCCCAATATTCCTACTAGGAGATTTTAATGTTAATGTTTTGTCAAATCAAGTAGCAGTTTCAAATTAATGCTACAAAAATTAAATTTAACAAATTTAATCGATTGTCCAACCAATTTTACAAAAACAGAGGGTACTTGCATAGATCTAATAATTACTAGCCATCTAACTTTGGTTGATAGTACATTTGTTTCACCCCATTTTGTAGTTCACATTCCCTTGTTGGACTGGACCTAAAATTCAATATACACAAACAATATGCATATAATAGAGAAATTTTTGATTACAGTAATGCTGATTACAATAACCTCAATAATGATTTAGAAAATACAAATTGGGATTCAGAAGTTTTTAATACTATTGATGTAGATGAAATGTACTCTAATTTTACAGAAGTAATAACCAAAGGCATAGATAAACACATCCCTAAAAAAGTAATTACAATACGACCAAAGGACAAAGTATTTATGAATAGTACAATTAGAATATTGATGAGAAAACGAAATCGAATTCATCGTAAAGCTGTCAAATCAAAAAATCCACTTCACTGGGAAAAGTATAGATACCTGCGAAATCAGGTCATTGATGAAATTAGAATTTCGCGGCAAAATTATAACAAAAAACTTACAGAGCAGATAAATAAAACAATACCACCTGGTAAATGGTGGAGAATAGTGAAATCTTTATCCAAACTAAACAATAAACATAAGCCAACACCTCCTCTTAAGGTTGATGGCCAAACGCTGTTTCATCCAATAGACAAGGCCAATGCCATAAACAAATTCTTTACAGATATCTCTTGCATTAACGATGAGCCTGATTTACCACCCCAGGGACCAGGTCCCCCTTTACACCATATGGAAACATTTAGAATTACAGAAAATGAAGTCTTGGACCAGTTACAAATCATCAATACATGTAAGCCATCAGGTCCTGATGGTGTTTCACCTCAAATTTTAAAATATACTGCACAGTCAATCTACAAACCACTGACAAAATTATTTAATATATCACTAAACAATGGAACTCTTCCTAATATTTGGAAAATTACCCAAGTTACTCCTGTTTATAAAAATAAAGGAAATACAGATGATGTCAATAACTATAGACCAATATCAGTAACATCTGTTGTTTGCAAATTATTAGAAAAAATTATTGTCAAGCATCTGCACAACTATATACTTGAGAATGATATACTATATAAGTTCCAGTCTGCTTTTCAAACTGGTGACTCAACCAGTAATCAGTTGGTGGAAATCTATAATACTATTATATCCAATCTTGATAACGGCCGGGATGTACGGTTTGTGTTTTGTGATATTTCTAAAGCTTTTGATAGGGTTTGGCATGAAGGAATTATATTTAAATTAAAGAAAATTGGACTAGTGCTAATTGTAACGGGGACCGTTACAGATGTTCCCCAAACGCTCCCCAACTCCCTTTTGGTGTCATATTCCCTGTAAGCTTCATTAAATAAGA